TATCCTCCTCCTGCTGCTGTCCTCACTAATTTTGCTGGACAACTTTTCCTTTTGTTTCCTTTTTCTTCCCCTCTCTTCTCCTTTCTAATTGTCATTTCCTGCTGACCTTGTGCCTGTTTTGATCAGTCTTTTGGCCTTCTTTTGTTGTGACGCCCGGGTGTTTGAGGAGGCATACTCTTGCACCAGTAGAACTGTAGTACCCAACATCTGGAGCAAGGGGACCTTTTTATTGTCAATCCTTCTTTTGTCCCTGAACCCAATCTCGACGGACTGACGGTTCTTAAGGTGGCGTTTGAGGGGTGTATACTCACGACGCACCTCTAGGGGGCCCCGGCATGATTGGCAACATGTCTCATGTTGGGTGTTCCGCTTCTAATTGTGGCTGCATGGTAGGTGTGGGGACACATTCGTGAATGAACGTCTTTCCTCTCGTCTCTATGTCGAAATCTGTTCCTCTTATTCCTTCTCAGGCTCGTGGGGTGGGCGACCAAGCCCCTGAGATGGACTGTGTTGGAAGACCGGGCTCTGTAGCCCCCGCTGCATTGAGACCTGAACTTGCTCCTCCTTTGACCCTCCTGACTAATCCCTTCGGCTCACCTCCCTCCTCTGAGGTTGGGTCGAGCCACAAGCCCCCAGTGGTGACCAGCTCGTCCCCTGGCACGGCTCAGTCTCTCATTGTGACTACTGCGCCTTTTAACCCCCCCTCTCTCTCTGGGGGTTCTCAATGCTGTCCACGCCACAGCTGCACTCGCACTATCCCTTCCTGTACTGATGCATACCACGCCTTGTTTGGTCCTGCTTCGTGGGCCAAATACTTTGATCTCCTCCCTCTGGATTCTTCACCTCCTGACGATTTCTCCCTCCATAGGCACCTTGTTGATTCCGTAGATGCCTCTGTTACTTTTAACCCCACCTGTCTTGGTACACGTGTCATTGCTGCTTCTCAGGATGCAGCCACCCGCTTGTCCGCCTTATCCTGCCTTTGCGAGACCCCTATTCGGGTCTCCAAGAACGCTCGGTTAAATGCCAGTGTTGGCACTGTTCTCCTCCCACGCCATGTTGCGACTGGTGTTAGGAATCTACAGGCCTGACACGAAGATATTCGGCATATTCTCGAAACCGCAGGGACATTCTGTCCTCCAGGTAGACAAGTTTACTCGTCCTCCCTCGTGGTCGTCGCCGTCAGCCCCTTCGCATTGTGAAGATTACCTTTGATGGTAGGACCATTCCGCCCTTTGTCATTCATGCTGGTGCCAGGTGCTCCGTCCAGGAGTACATTCCCTCTCCTCGGCTCTGTAATAACTGCTGGAGGTTTTGGCATGGTGCCCTCCGATGCTCTGGTACTGTCTCTCTCTGTCCCTTGTGTTGGGGCGAAGGTCACCCTAAGTCGGAGTGCACTTCTCCTCTGGCTCGCTGCCTTAATTGTGGTAAGGTCCACCCTACCTTCTTCCGTGCGTGTGTACATTACAAGCTTGAGGCAGCCGTCCTCAGCTTGAAGCACCAGGAACGTTTGTCTTTTCCCGAGGCGAGGCGCCGAGTTCACCGTCTCCCACCTTACGCTGACGTCTCTAATGCTCGTGTGTTGCGCTCTTCCTCTCCTTGTCATTTCCACCTTCCTCAGTCTCACACCCGTTTCCAGGCCTTAGACCCAGACATGCCCACTGCCTCCTCCTCTGTTGAGTTTTGTCCCGAAGGGTCCCCCTCCTGGTCCTCTGTCTGGGGTTCCCCTTCTTTCTGCCCAGTCTGTGATGTCTCCCATGTATTCTTCCTCGTCTCCCTCCGATCCTCCTTCCCATCCTTCTCCTCCGTCTATTGACAGTCCCCGCCGCCTGTCAGTGCGGGCTGATGTCCATCACTCTCCCAACGGCCGTCGTGTATGCTCTCGTTCAGCTTCTCCTATTGAGACGCTGGAATCTGTTGCCCAGTACGTAGTTGCTGGGACACCTGTCTCTTTGAGTCAGAAGCGTAAGCCTGGCTCCTCTCCTTCCTCCTCCCCAGCGGGTAAAAAGGTTTCGCTTTCTTCTTTGCCCCCTACTTCTGACTCTCTCGCTCTGTCCCCTCCAGTTTCGGTGGTTACACCCCTGTTCCTGCTATGGAGGTCTCTTTGGTCCCCGCTTCCCTCTCGGTTGGTGACCTTGCTGAGGTGCGTCCCCTGGTTTCTGCCCCTCCTACTGTTGTCCTTGACCCTCAGTTGCCCCCCCCATCCTCCTCCTCCTCCTCTGGACCCTGCTTGTCCGCCCCTGGTCGGTCCTCCAGCTCCCTTCCCTCCTTTACTTAGTATACCCATGCCCCCTAACCCTGACTTCGCTGACCCTGATCCTGTGCTTCTTTAATGTGCTGCGTTCCATTTTCACCTTTGTTTCCTCACTGTTCTCTGTTGCTATCCTTTCTCTT